TGAACCCTAATTTCAAATATTTGCTGCTGCCTTCAGCAGGCCATCCCTGCTGAATTGCGGCTCATTCCTGGAGGCTAGGGAAAGGCCACCAGGCCTAGAACCCTGGCGGCTGCCAGTTTGATGTTTGCAGTCCCAAGTGACTGGTGCTGTTTGTCCTGCTGTAACCAGCTCTTACATCTTGGTGATGTTTCATTTCTACCCTCCACAAACACAGGGGAGAGTAAGGAGCAGGTTGCTAACTCAGCCTTTGTGGAGCGTGTGCGGAAGCGTGGCTTTGAGGTGGTATACATGACAGAGCCCATTGATGAGTATTGCGTGCAGCAGCTTAAGGAATTTGATGGCAAGACCCTRGTATCGGTCACCAAAGAGGGCCTGGAGCTGCCTGAGGATGAGGAGGAGAAAAAGAAGATGGAGGAGAGCAAGGCCAAGTTTGAGAACCTCTGCAAACTTATGAAGGAGATCCTGGACAAGAAGGTGGAGAAGGTGAGATGGGCAGGGAGCTTAGCCCTGGGCTGGAGGGAGGGCTGGGTCCTCCGTGCTGCAGGCGAGGGCCCCCGCTCAATGCATGCCTCTCATCTCCTGCAGAGGAGCCGCTAAAGGAGACTGGAGGTCCCAGCATGCACCATCTTGCTCTAAGCAGCCAGGCTGCAGGCGAGGGGCACTGACCCAAAAACGTGCATTGATGGGAGAGGGTAAGTGTGGGAACATGCAGTGGGTGCTCAAAATGCTGGCTGAGCTGTCCAAATTAGTCTGTGGAGCAGTCCTGGAGCTGCTTGGAGCATCTGTGCTTGCTTTGGGGTGTCCCCAGGTGAACCGGGGCAAAGACTTGGGCTATCGTGTGCTGTGGCTGGGCCCAGTCCAGGGCATATGGGAGCCTTGCTCAGCTAACCCTTGACTATGTTGGCAGGTCACAGTCTCAAACCGGTTGGTCTCATCTCCCTGCTGCATTGTCACCAGCACCTACGGTTGGACAGCCAAYATGGAGCGCATCATGAAGGCTCAGGCACTGCGGGACAACTCTACTATGGGCTATATGATGGCCAAGAAGCACCTGGAGATCAATCCTGACCATCCAATTGTGGAAACCCTTCGCCAGAAGGCTGATGCTGACAAGAACGACAAAGCTGTAAAAGATCTAGTGGTGCTACTCTTTGAGACTGCTCTGCTGTCTTCTGGTTTCTCCCTGGAAGATCCCCAGACCCACTCCAACCGCATCTACAGGATGATCAAACTGGGCCTTGGTGAGTATCCATGCAACTTGTCAGGCCTGGAGCAGGTCCTGAAAGCAGGTTAACTGATCAGGCTGGTGTCTCGGAGCAGGGGGACACCAGTAAGTAAGCCATGCTGGTATGACRTGCACAACTGGCTCTGTCCATAAGGTGGCCAGAAGAAAGTGTAAACCTGCAACAAGTTACTTCAGGAGGGCTCTGGGCAGACTGTCCTGTCCTCCACAATGCATGTTCAGATGACAAGCCGAGGCTTTTTATTCCTTCAGAGTAAATGTGAAAAGCCTATAATGGATGATGTGACCCATCTGGTGAACCAGCCTGTTTTTACACACARCCTTTTCCTCCACATTCCCTACTTAGCTAAAAATGTAAATCAGAAGGTGCTGTGACTTGGCACAGCTTAGTTCATAACTCTGTACTGCCCAGTTTCAGTAGGAGTAGGGCCCTGTATTAGTCAAGTTGCAGGTAAGGGGACTGTACTGTAGTATAACTTCCTGTTCAGAGTTTACTGAAAACAGCAACCTGCAGTGTTGCAAAGTGATTAGCTCTAGAGTCTTGCAATTGCTTYATTTTTGACTTACCTGGATTTACTGCATTTTTCCCTAGAGAAATATTCATGGCTTAAACCACATTCACTCCAGGGTTTTGTGCTGGGTGACAGGTCTTTTGTAGTTAACCTCTACTGGCTAATGAGTGCACTCTAATGGCATAGGTAGTATCCAYGTACTAGTGTGGATGTTGCTGGGAAGATTATGCTGATTCAGGATTAGTGCTRTAATTGACAATAACTCATAACAATGTTGACTTGCATTCTATTGAGTTTTTGGCCTGGAGTAAATGAGACTGAAGCGAGACCTCACTGCAGTGTACAGCTTCCTCACAAGGGGAAGCAGAGGGGCCTGCACTGATCTTTTCTCTCTRGTGACCAGTGACAGGACCTGAGGGAATGTTATGAAGCTGTGCAAGGGGAGGTTTAGGCTGGATGTTACAAGAAGGTTCTTCACCCAGAGGGTGATTGTCCAAAGAACAGTCTCCCCAGGGAAGYGGTCACAGCACCAAACCTGCCASCATTCAAGAAGCATTTGGACAACACCCTGAGGCACGTGGTGTGATTCTCGGGGCTCTCCTGTGCAGACCCAGGAGCTGGACTTCAATGATCATTGTGGGTCCCTTCCAAATCAGAATATTCTATGATKCTGTGAACTACTGGATGCCAATAGCCCTATTCCTCAGGCTCTGGGCAGGAGCCAGGTTTACTCGAGGAGAGGCTGTACATCTGGGATATCATTTATATCATTTGGAGGCTGTATCTCATCCCTTCCTCCCCTCTTCCAGGCATCGATGAAGATGAGATGATTGCAGAGCAGCCCAGTGCAGCTGTCCCTGAGGAAATTCCCCCTCTGGAGGGAGATGAAGATACATCCCGCATGGAAGAGGTAGACTAAAGGAGGAAGGCTCTTCCTTCTCTTGCCAGACCTCTGCTCTATATTATGTCTGCTTAGAAGACGGTCTGCTCCCACCAGCTGCTACTGACTCTTTGGTAGTGTCTGTTTTTTTGGCTGTGTTTGATTGAGGTTGTTTTTGGCAGGGTGCAGGAGGGCACAATTCCCTGTTTGTTATTAGTGGTTCAGGTAGCCTGAGGCCTGTCTGTTCTGTATCTTTCTGCTTGTGTAGGAACAGCTGCTGGGGTGTGGAGGTATCAGGAGGCAGGAGGCTTCCCCTTTCTGCCCCTCGGGGAATGTCCCATGTTACCAGTAGGCATCAAACATGGTCCTTATTCCATTGGAGTGGGAGAGCCCTTCCTCTGAGCTGCTGCCTACCTGAACCCCCAGGACAGCATAATGTATTTCGGCCAATTTTTGTTTGATTATTTTTCTGGGTTTTTTTTTGTTCTACTGGAATAAAAGAATCTTATGATGTACCTGGCAGAGTCTCTTGTGTTTCACGCCTACTCTATGGAGGAAAATGTCTCAGCTTGTTCCTGAGGGCATTGAACAGCTGGCCTATCCTGTGCCCTGACTGGTTTTCTGAGCCCTCTGGGTGATCTTCACCCCTTCCATGCCCAGGCAAGATGAAATGGGTGGAAGGAACACATGACCTTCTGTGCAGGTGGGGTCACCTCCAGTGGGCACTAATTTTCCATCTSGAGCAGTGTATCCCCCACAGCCTGGGACAAAAATTCAATCTGCATTGGTCAGCTGGGTGAGCTGTGCCAGGGCCTGAGTCTGGGCTGCTGACTCCTGGTTTGACGTGAGCATCCCTGGGGCAGGACCGTGGCAGGAGCCATCTGCCTGTTCCATTGCAGTATGGAACACGGTGTGGAGTGACAGTTCAAGACCATAGTCAAGCTGCCTCTTGAGCCATTAGGCTGAAGACTGTTCTTTTCCTCCCCCCTCCAGCCTGCCCCTTTGGCCTGCTGCAGCCACTGGGTATTTGGAAATACATGGACTCTCTCCATCTGTGTCCCAGATGACAAGTCTTGGACATCACTTATGGTTGAACTGCCCYTAGCAGTGAGCTCACACCGCATGACGTTTGTCACCCCTGGCCATAATGGCCATTGGGGTTTGTCAGGGAAAAGTGACACCAACATTGAGTTCTCTTGCTGCCTCTGTGCCAGCTGCCACAGGCGTAAAATGGAATGGGCTTTAGACAGTATCCATGTTTAACAGGGAGGCAGAGCCTGCACATCAAGACACTGAACACTGTGCTGCCAGTGTGGGTGCAGCCTGTTGGGGCCATGCTGGAGCTGAGCTAGCAAATTTTTCAAAAGAAAGATTTCTCTCTGGAGAGCAAGTTGGTGCCGAATACCAAATCAATAAAATTTAACCTTTTAAGTTAATGTTCTGGGTGTTCTTTTTCCACTAATATTTTGTTTAAATCTACATTTAAAATAGAAAGCTTATCACTTTGTATCCTATTCCTAACTCGGCAATGTGAGGTTTTGTTGTTTGTGTTTTGTTTTTTTTTAAATCAAAGGAAATTCCCATTCCCTTTTCAGTCTGTCACAGATGATGGGGACAGACAKTTGGGGGAGTTTGTAGAACAAGATGAAAGATGTTGCTCAGGCACTTCCAAAAGCTCAGAGCTAGAAAAAGACCCCAGGTAAAACTGCAGGAGAGACAAATGTGCTGAAGCTTGGGCTGTGCTCAGCACCAGCTCTGGTATCCCTGCAGGCTCAGCTAAGCCACCTCCTGTTTCTCTTGTRACCCTCACCTGAGTCTCCCCTTTCCCTAGCCCTGTTAGCCCCCAGTCCTGTCTCTGACCCCAGAATCACCTCAGCCTACAAGGTTTTTCACTAGGCCTCCTGTATCTGCCAGTAGGATGGATCATGCACACCTCAAGCCTCGGGCTGGTGCAGCTACAGCCCACAATGCTACAGCACAGGTGGCCCGGGCTGGCATCACTTCTCTGTAACTACACCCACTGGAATTCCTGAAGTTGCACCATGCAGGGGAATCCAGGAGCCAAATTAGACTCGGCCTAATGGCTCCACTGCCTCCCACCAGCATAAGCAGCATTCCAAAGCTGCCTATGCTCCCCAGATGAGTGTGCAAGGATCTCCTGTCAGGCCTTGCAGCTTTGGGTGCAACCCTGATTAATAACTGCCTTGGCAAAGAGAGAGAGAGGCACTTGTGTTTGGAAAGATAGTTTTGCACTCCTAGAGAAATGAGTSAAGTAGAAGAGTTGGAAGTCTCTCCCTCATTTCCAGGTACATGGGAAAAAAACCTCAACCAACCAAAAAAACCCCCACATTTACACCCATGGCACTCTATGCAGCATATTTTTAATTTAATAAAATAAAAAGAGGAAAAAGTTGCCTTGCAAAAGTACCAAAACCTGCTGGTTTGTCAGGTTGTGTTGATGAGAAAAGGATTGACCAGTAAAACCCAGGCTTCTGGGGAAGAACAGCTTTCACTCCTCCATCCCCTGCTGTCTGTGGAGCAGGAACAAGGCACCGCTAGCGGGCTCTGCCCCATGTCCCAACCCTCCAGGCACAGACTCTGGCTAGCCCCTGGGAAAACCAGGGCCAGTGCCTCCAGGTGGCAGGAAAAAGAGGGATTGTTTGTGCTTGTCTGAATGGCAACTGCAAATCCCAGAAACCATGGCACTGAGGGACCCAGAGGTCATGCTGAGGCTTCTGGGCTGCACAGCCTTTGGCCTGTAACAGCAGCAGATGTAACCAAAAAGCAGCCTTGAAGGACTTGGCAAGCCTTCASGTGCTGCATAAAAATCAGCCTGGGCTGAGGGGTGCAAAGAAAAGTGTCTTGGAGCAGGGACAAAAGCAAAAAAAAAACCAAACAGGGAGGTACTGGCTTTCACTGCAGTGCCCTCCCAGAGCAGCTCGCAGGCCTGGGGTAGGATAGGCTGGGAGTCCTTCCCTTAGCCATGCCTATACTACCCAGAGCCCCTCCTGGAATGGAGGAAGAGAGCTCCCCACCCTTTGATGGGCTCAGCTTGGGACATGCCACACTTGGAGATGTTTCAAAAAGAAACCTAGTGTTTTGCTTGCCCATTCCTCCTGCCAAGCTCTGTGGTACTACCAGAAATGGAGGAGCATTAGCCAGAGGCAAGACAGTGCCAGGGAAGAGTTCCCTTTTTCATCAGTGACTTGGGGGAGAAGCCACAAGACAGAGGTGGGGCAGGAATACCAGCAGCCCCATGCTGGTGTGCCCCCAGGCCTGTGCCTTGGCTGTCTTTGACCTGTTAAGGCAAATGGAAAGGTTTGGAGCTGCATCAGCCCACAGTATTTCCTAGGCTTATTCCAGCCCCTTTCCCAGGAAAAGCAGGTGGAAAACTGAGTCATTGGTCCTGCCTATCCATATCCCACTGCGCTCCTCAGTGGGYTTTGAGAAATAAAGCAAGTACACTTGAGTGGAGGCAGGACAGAGGGCATGGCTTAAATGCCATAGCCTCAGCTTCCTTAGACCTTTTGTACCGGGGTCTCGCCTGGTGGAAGTTTCTTACTGCGCTTCTTCATGCGACTGCGGGCATAGACACGGAGAAAGAGGGCCATGAAGACAACAGCTATGCCCAGCCCACCCACAACAGTGACAGTGTGCCCATAGATGAGGCAGGAGAGGAGGATGGCAAAGGCCTGTCGGAGTGTCATGATGATGGTGAAGACAGCTGCCCCGAACTGGTTGATGGTGTAGAAGATGAAGAGCTGGCCACAGGCAGAACACACAGAGAGCAGCACAGCGTGGGCAGTGAACTCTGAGTGGCGGGCCATGAAGTGCAGCGACTCCAGCAAGGCACCCTGCTCCAAGAGCGAGCCCACGGTGAAAAGGCAGGAGAAGACGTTGACGCCAAACATCATCTGCACGGGAGACATCTTGTAGGTGAAGAGAGCGTCCTGCCAGTTGGAGGTGAAGCTGTCAAAGATTATGTAGCCAGCCAGGAGCACTACGCCAGAGAAAGTGGTGACAGTGGACACATGCCTGTTAGGAGCGCTGGAGAGCAGGAACATGCTGACCCCCACGGAGATGAGGGCAGCAGTCAGGTACTCCCAGTACTCGTAACTCTTGCGTGATACCAGTTTGCCCATCATCATCACTGGGATGACTTTGGAGGCCTTGGCCAGCACTTGGGTGGGGAAGCTGATGTATTTGAGTGCCTCATACTGACACCAGCTGCTGAGAATGTTGGAGAGAGAGGCAAAGGAGTATTTGTACATAGGAGCCCCATGGCGTGGCTGCTTGGTCAGGGCGCAGTACAGACCAGCCACYGTGAAGGCCAGGATGCGGTTCATGAACACTAGGAACTGGGAGTCCTTGAACTTCTCACCAGGATCTGTTTCAGTGGCACCATACGTTCTCGTCATCACACGCTCCTGGAGGACACCCCATGTGAGGTAGGAAACCTGCAAAGCAACAGGAGCACGGGRAGAGTCAGGACCCACAACAGCAACTGCCAGCAACCACAGAAAGAAGAGACCCCAGGAGATCCTTGCTTTCCCCAGTGTTGACTCATCTGCTTGGCAATGATTCCCTGAGACACTGGGAGACAGAACCACCCGGCACTCCACCTGTCTGAGGGAACCTGCTGTCCTGTTACAACCAGGAACATCCTGTTCCAAACAAAACCTGCTCAGTGTACAGGGGAGAAAAGCCCACAATGCAAACATCCTGGTGTACAGCAAGTAGATACACTTCGAGCTGCTTTAAGCCCGTGGAACCAGACTGACAGAATCAGGGGACATTACTGATACAACGCTGCGGTTTTGGTGCCAGCTCCCTGCGGCAGGTCCTGGCAGTTTTCCCAGTGGCCTCTGCATTGGTTTTCACTTCCAGCTCCCTAGGCCTGGTTTTCACATCCAAATCAATTCTAGTTTCAAACACAGCAGACGAAATTGTCCACCAGGGATTATCAGTGTCCTGGTTGTCATCTCCACTACTTCTGCTGCAACAACACCAAGCCCCTCACAGAAGTAACACAGACTTCCTCTTAGCACATATCTCCCAAGGAACTAAGGCACAAAGAGATGGAAGAACTTGGTGGCCCACAGCAAGTCTGAGTGAGCTGCGAGAGTAGGCCAGAAAATGAGTCTGCTCCTGGCTGCAGACACCTGGGTTTTTCTATCCCGTGTCCACATTACTATTTTTAGTCCTCATAGACCCAAAAAGCTGCCCCTCCTAATGATGCAGGCTATAGCTGATACTTGGGGAATCTAAGATTTCAAAGTCCTGTTTATCTGTAGCTGAATGCAGTATTTTCTCCACTACACAAATTCAATCCATAAAGGTAGAATGCATCAGCCCCAGACAATGACCCAGGGGAGAGCCTGGGAGATAAGAAGGCTCAAACTATCTGCTGATCTGACATCAGCCAGAACAAAAGCAGCCCTAACAATCTGCTGAATCACAGACTTTTCAGAGTTTTCCCTATCCATGGCTCTAGAGGACTGTGACCAAACAGACAGGATGCTCCAATCCGAATGACAAAAGCTAAATGGACTGCCATAGCCCTCAGAGGTGGACTGTACTGGTTGAGAGGCTGTCCCAGGCCCCAATCCTGCCCTGATCAAGGACAGCACTGTATCCTTGATCTTCAAGGAACTGACAGTGACTAACCCACTGGCCACCTCCTCCTTCCACAGTGGGACAGACACATACACATACATAGGACCCTTACCTGCAGACCAGCAGCACAGAAGAGCAGCTTGAAGACCTGTCGGGCTGTGGATGACTCTGTGGGCTCTGCTCGGGGTGGCAGGGAGCCATCCTCCTGGTGTACAGACTTCACTTCAGAGCCAAACACGCATGATTTGATAACAGGGAAGCAAATGCCTCGGCCTGAACAGGATAAGAGAAGATGGAGACACAATTAACCAAAGCCTGGGCACCACAAGCTGCACCAGTTTGAGTGGTGAAGCCTCCTTCCTCACTAGCTTCCAGATCTGATGGCATGGGTGCCTCAGAGAAATTTGTTTCAGGACAGCACCTAGACAGCACTGTGAGTAGGGATGCAGCTCTGTGAGTAGCCCAAGCTTGACAAAGCAGACTGGGGAAACAACCTGAATGGGCTAGACTGAGGGGGTGCAGAGAGCTCCAAGGGATGCAGGATGTGGAAGGGAAGCTACTGCCCCTACCTGTCTCCAAGTAGTTCCTTCTCTTTAAGTACTGGATGAGGAGGAATCCTGGCACCACAATACTCGCATAGCCAGCAGCATTAACAAAGAAACGGAAGAGCCAGAAGTCACCCCATGAGTCCTCCAGGGCAGGGGCAATCTCTTCACCAGTAGCCATCGTAGGGAGGGAAGCCAGCACGAGGGGMAGGCAAAATCTGCAGAAAGAGGAAGAGGCAGGTGGCAGGCTACTGGTATATGAGCAGCTCCACTCTGTATGCCTGCAATGCCCAGCACCCAGCCTGCTCCTCACCACCTGTAATACCCAGCACCCAGATCCCACAGCAGCGACAACAGTGATGCTGGCAGCACATGGAGTAGGAAAAGTCCTCTGGAACTGAAAAGCACAGACCAGACATCTATGTTTGCTTCTGTTAAAGGTGGTTGCTCTGGAACATRTGGACTTAGAACCTTGGATTCCCAGGATTAGAGAGAACACTCTTGTAACCATCTGATTTCGACAAGACTCTTTCTCCACATGCAAAGAGCACTTCACACCTCACCTTTATCACAGCTTTTGGGCAGAAAAGGAAAAGGTCACTGAATGGAAAAACTGACTCCTGCCTAGAAGCTCATGTTTCAAGCCTGTGGCCATGAGCAGCCTTCCTCTGGAAGCAAACAGTTCAGAGCATTCCCCTCCAGCTAATCAGGTGAGTGGCAAGTGTTTGGACTGCCAGCCTTCCCCACCTCCCAGAGCAGCTCTGGAAGTGTGCCAAGGCATTCCCCACAGCTCAGAGGAAATTACCAGGGTTCACCCGCTTGGCAAAACACAGCCAGAAAGCAAGGCTGGAAAGGAACTTTCCTACAGCTATCTGGTTGGGATTTTACCAGGACTATCCAATGAGGTATAGCTAATATTCTTCAGCTGTAGCTGTAGGGAGTGAYCTAGCCAGCTTTAAAACAGCTTTAATAGGCCTTGAAGGAGTTCTTCCCTCCACTGTCATCTCCCTCACAGAGGCAAACCTGTAATATTCAGTGGTAYCAGGTACTCAACAGAATGAGCAACCAGGCAAGAACTTCCTACACCCGAGGCCACCTGCATCCTTCCCTCACACAGCAAACTGCAACTTCCTGAATCAGGAAGAAGGTTTCCCTGGTCCATGCTATATCCCTGCCCGTTTCCTCAGTGGAGAAAGCCTCCCAGTTGCCTAAGGGGCCAGGTAAGGGTGCTGCGGGCTGGCTAAATAAACACACACCAGAAAAGTTTCTGTGACTGAAAGCGATAGAGATGTTAATTCCTCCTCCCACCAAAAAGTGAGTCAGAGGAATTTAGGGCCTGTTTAGGGGTGTATGTAGCCCCAGTATTGTACAGCTGTGACTTCTGGTAGCCCTCATATGAAACTCAGAGATTTACAAACTTAGAGCTTTAAAGGCAAGAAAGTCCCCTGCCAATTCATGAGCAAGCACTCCCACCAACCTCTTGTCCCCTTGGGAAAGACCTCAGGGGCTTTTCYTATCTTCAGTTGCTGTGGCCAGGCCCCTGGAGTTCAATAACCTGACCAAAGCTGAGGCTGTGTTTCACCCAGAAATCTCCCTTCTATGACTTAAAGGACAAGAAATTCCTAGCCCAGGGAGAAGTGCAAATGGCTAGGGGTGGATTTATTMGCCTGCTTCCCATAGAAAAGACAGTTTGACACTTCCACTCCATCTCTCCTGCTGCGGAGCATCAACACAGGCTGTACAGGTGCTGTGGGATGCAAAAACAGGGGTCGGTGCTGGCACCTAGGGCTGAAACTGCCATGTGCTCCTGGGTTCGCCCATATTAAGTAGTCGTGRCTGATGGCGGGGTGCAGAAATGCCGTTCACTTTTGCAGAAGTCAGATATAGATGACAGGGTCGGCTGCCACGTTTCCAACTTGACAGGGACTGTAAGCTCTGTTCAGCACGACTGCACTTGCTGTTATCCCGCCAGCTCYTGCAGCGCTGCCATGGGAGGAGAATCAGCTCTGCTCTCCCACAGCGACCGTGAAGAGGAGGCTATGGAGGGACAATGGCCCTCTATGCCTGCGCTAGCAATTCCCAGGCCCCGAGAGCTGACTCAGTGCAGCAGGCCCTGCCCTCCCTGCCGAGGCTGCGAAGGAACAGGGACGCCACTGTTACAGGTAGAAAGCGGGGGGGGGGCTGAGCAGGCGACGTGCTGAGGCATGAAAGGAGCCTTAGTCTGGGGCCTGCGGAACAGCCCAGGAGCCGAGACAACAGCCCCGGCCGCTGCTCCCCTGGGCACAGCAAGGGCAGCTCCCAAAGCGCTTCGGAGCCAGGCTGGCACCCAGCCCCCTGCCTGGGATGCACAAGTGGGAGTCCCGGGTTTGAAAAAGATCCCTGCCTACAGCCCGATACTCTCGAGCGCGCCTCCGGCGCCTGGAAGGGCTGAGGTCAGAGCCCAGCTCAGAGCTGATAAGTATATGCTAACAGCTCGGGWTCTCATGTCTCCTCCCTGTCCCTGTCCCTGCACGCAGCCAGGTCACAGCGGGGACCTGCCGCTATCCGCCCACGGCCGACCGCCACCTCTGCCCAGGGGCCACGAGCAGAGGCACCGGGCTGCCGCTCCCCGCCGGCCGTGGGGCACCCTCCGAGGGGGCCCGGCCGGGGAAAGCCCTACGCTTGCCGCTCCGGGGCTTGACTGCCCCGAGGCTCCCTCTATCCAGGGACGGGGCCCGCGGGAGAGGCAGCGCCCGGCCGGCTGCGGGGTGAGCGTGCCCCGGCGCCGCCTCCCTGCCCGGCGGCCACGTTCGCAGCGAGCGGCCGGCAGCGCGGCTGCGGCCCTCGCCCGCCCTCACCGAGCGGGGCGGCTTCCACCCGCGGCCCGGCCCGGCCTCCGCCTCCACCCCGGCCTCGCTACCCACCTGCGGCCCGGCCCCGGCCCGGCCCGGTCCCGGCCGGCTCCCCTCGGCTCCGCTCCCGGCGGCAGCGGCGGCGGAACCCCCGCCCGGCGGGCGCGCTCGGCGCCCCACAGCGCCCCTGCCGCTCCGGAGGGACCGCGGCGGGCGGGGCGGGGACCGCGATCACCGGATCACAGAATCCATCGGGTTGGAAGAGACCTGAGATCATCGAGCCCAACCTATGACCGAACACCACCCTGTCAACTAGACCATGGCACTGAGTGACACGTCCAGTCTTTCCTTAAACACCTCCGTCTATTCCAATGTCTAATTACCCTTTCTGAGGAAAAATTTCTCTTAGCATCCAACCTAAATCTCCCCAAGCACAGCTTGAGGCTGTGTCCTCTTGCTCTGTCACTGGCAGCCTGGGAGAAGAGGCTGATCCCCACGTGGGTACAGCCTTCTTTCAGGGAGTTATAGAGTGACAAGGTCTCCCCTGAGCCTCCTTTTCTCCAGGCTAAACATTCATAACCCCCCCAGCTGCTCATCATAGGATTTTTGCTCCAACCCCTTCACGAGTTCTGTTACCTTTCTCCAGATATGCTGCAGCACCCTCTTGGAGTGGCCCACAACTGGACATACGACTCGATGATGCAGCCTCACAAATAGAGAGGGATGATCACTTCCCTGGTCCTGATGGCCACACAATACTTCATTCAAGGTGGAAGCCCTCAAAATGACCCCTGGGATCTCCCCATCCCTGGCCCCTGTTTCAGGGCAGTCCCCTCTGAGCTGCCAGCTCAGCACTGAGCACAGCCACCAAAGGGCTGCCTAAGGGCTGCAGGGCAGGATGGTGCCTTCTCCACCCCCAGTCCCACATCCCGTATCCCCGTCTCAGGCATGGCTGCAGAGCCAGCTGGAGCCATCATATGGCCACGCAATAACATTTTACAAGACATCTTTTTAAAACAAATAGTTTTATTCAAAAATAACAAAACAAAAAAAGTGCAGATCATTTGTTTCTGCCTTTTCCCTTTGCTCCCAGCTACAGCCCTGGCCCCACCACCCCATACCACCCTCGCAGCATTGGTCATTCCTTCTTTGGGCGGTCTGGAAGTGCCTCATGTCCCTTGTGAAGGCATCCTTGAAACAGCCCTGTGGATTTGCAGCAGGACTGAGGCCCTTCCAGAAGGTGAGAGGCAAAGATTTAAAAGGAACAGGGCATTCCAGGCCAGGACTGCTGAGGAAACCAGTCAAGGTCCCAGAGAGGCATAGGGGGGTCTCTATGCTGCTTTCCTGGCAGCATTCCCTTACAAGGGAGGAAGAAGACAAAACCTCACTTCAGAGCATCCTGGTTGCTTGCACCATCCAGTATCTGTCCCAAACAAYAGCAGCTGCTCCCAAGCAACAAGTGGGGAATTTCCTTGGCTGAGATGGGGTAAGGCTCAGTGCCTCCATTCCCACAGCACCTTTGGCTGCTGATTTCCTAATGCACYGCACGTGCTCCTCTGGCTGGAGAAGTGGCAGGGAAGAGTGGTGAGCTGAACAACAGAAGGGATGTRAAGGTAATGCTGCCATCTCCTCCACTTTCACCTGGGAGAATCTAAAACCCAGGGAAGACCCATGCCCTAAGTTTTTTAACTCCCTTACAAGCCAGGAGATGSGGCAGGATCCTTCTGTCCGCTTTGTCGAAGGGGAAACCATAGCACAGTAAAGCAGCAAGATGTCAGGCACAATGGCAGAAGCAGAGATCCACAACCTGGCCTTGTTGTGGGTCCCCTATGCTCTTTCTTCAGCCCTGCAGCCAGATGCTCAGCAAGACAGCATGGGAATAGGGCACGAGGCTGGGATCCCCCAGCCTCGGCCCTGAGCAGTAGAAAGGCTCTGCAAGTGGGGAAGGCCCTGTGCTCCCACTCACCTTCTGCGGTACGAACAACACGAGGGAGCAGGCAGACTGGGGGAACTCCTGCAGCCCTCGCAKCCCCAGGGCCCTGGGGTGATGCTCAGCCTCCTGATGCGGTGGGGTGGGGCGTGGGTTACAGCACATGACACCTCTGGTGCCCGCAGCAACAACAAACATTKATTAGAGTGAGTGTCGACTCTCTTCACCCCACACTTACTCTGATGGGGTGTCAGAGCATGCTCTGTCTGGCCTACAGTGTGAAAATGAGTCCTCTCCTGCTCCCTTGTGTATGCTGGAGATCCCCACAAGTCAGAACCATGGCAGGGAGGGGAAAATTCAGTCCTGCTGCAGTGCACAGATACTAAAAGAAAAGCCTCCCCYGTGTAGTGCTCATAATGCCACCTTCTTCCATCTCAGAAGGCAGCCTGAGGCAAACAAAACTTTTCCAAAGAGGAGAGGGGCAGTGGGATAAATCTCCCAAAGTGTCTCTGCTCCCACTGAACTGCAGGCAGGCAAGATTCTAGTGGGCAGTAGGGCAGCAGCACAGAGCAAGGAGGCAGCCCAACAGGCCAAAGGAGTCCATCCCCTCATTCAGAGCACACAACAGGCTTCCCTGAGATCTTCAGGTCATCGAAGGGCAGCAAGGCGAGGAGGAGCTGCAAAGACCAAGAGTATGGACATATTAAGGATCTGGGGGTGTGTCTCCACCGAGCTAGGGTAGAGGTCCAAAATATGCCCCGCATCCAGCCACACAGCCTCCCACCTCCTCAGGGAAGTGCCAAGAAATCCTGTCTTGGCTTTTATTAGGGCTTGAGGCAAAAGAAGGTTATACCACACACCCACAGAGCCAATGCCTACAATCTATAGGGAAGGACAGAAACACCTAGAAACTCCCCCTAGGAGATCCCCTCTAATCGCCCARCTCCTGCATTCCCTGACACAGTGGCAGAGCCACAGGCCTCCCCCCACAGACTCACATCATCGTTGCCATCAGCCAGGTCCTGGGCTGTCTCGTTCTCCATGTTCCTCAGCAGGGTGTCGGCCCCAGAGTGTGAGAGGATGGCGGCGATGGTAGCATCCTTGCGGCCCACAGCCAGGTGGAGGGGAGTGCACCCATTGTACATCTGGGCATCCACATACGCCCCATTATGCAGCAGGAACTGGACAGCCTTGCAGTCGTGGCACTCCACAGCCAGGTGCAGTGGGGTCTTCCCGCTTGTGCCCTCCTGCAACCCGCAGACCACAAGGGTGTGGGTGGGGAGTCCCCTCAGCTGGGTCCTGCAGCATCCACCCACATTTCTCTGACTGGGTGCAGAAGGGGCAGTCCCCACCCTGACTGCTGTCACAGCACCGAACAGCCTCTCAAGGACCTTTACTCTCTGCTCCTTCAAAATTCAGTGCCTCCAAGCCTCACAGCAGTGCCTGCCCCAAGGCTGAAGGGAGCGCCCAAGGGAGACAACCACTGGCCCAGCCTTTACAAAACATCACACTATGCCYGCCCAGTCTTACCCGAACGTCGATGTTGGCACCGCTCTCCAGCAGCAGAGACATCATTGCAATGTTCCCCTTCAAGGTACTGATGTGCAGACAGGCCAAGCCTGTGATAGGGAGGCAGAAGAGAGAGCCACAATCAGACCACTCTGGGGCACACCAATCCAGCCCCACTCTCATTCTGCTCTGTGCTCCTGGATCCCTGCATACATATCCCATGGTCTCTGCCCCAACCTGGCCACCAGCTGTGCACTGGGCTGCCCTCAGGTCTCACCTTGCCAGTTTTGGAGCTGCAGGTCCTGGTGGTGCCCACGGGGCTGAGTCGTGCCCTCCGGTGTGGCTGTGCCCTCCAACAGCTGCTGGGCACACTGCAGGCGCTGCTGCTCACAGGCCAAGTGCAGTGGGGTGTTGCCATTGCGGTCCTGCAGCCCAGGGTTCACTCCCTTGTGGATCAGCGCCTGGATCACGCTGGGCTGCTCCAGGTACACAGCAAGGTGGAGCGGGGTCTGGAGAGAAATTAGGAAAAGGGAGGATGCCCCGCAGGACACGAGGTGTGATGAGTCCTACCAGTCTCTGGGAGCCAGCCTGGCAGCATGGGCTGACTGTCATACAGGAGACGCCCATCCATGTCCTGAGGTTACATGTGGCTGACACTGGTGGGGTCACAGAGCTGTTCCCCTGTACCTCAGCTCAGGTTCACCCATGGAGACCGATCTCATTCTCCCAAGCTATCTACCCAGCCACATTCAACCCGTGCCTCTTCCCACCCTCCATGGCTGGCTGCAACATACTGGAGCCTTGCAAACTTCACTCCACAGTGCTGGCAGCTGTCACACTTCTCTCTCAAGGTATCTCCACCTCCCTTCCTCCCATCCCTGCAAAGAAGCTGCTCACACAGGATCTTCACCACACTCTGGGGGAAGCAGGTATGGAAGGAAAGAGGGGAAAGGATAGATCAATTGGGCATCTATCCAGGGAACAGCCTGCATTTCTCTTCCTCCCATCTGCCTATCACAACAGCATACCTGGAAAAGATCATTTTGGATCTCCAGCACCTCCCTGGGCAACTGTGCAATGCAGCAGAGTGCTACAGCTGGGACACAGTGGATAATGGCCAGATGAACCAACCTACAGAGGGGGTAATGGTGACAGGAGAGAACAGAAAAGAAAAGTAAGTCATGAGTACCATGCTCAGAAGRGGAGATCCTTCCCTACTGCGTGGAGTAATAATGTTCCTGCCTCTTCCAGTCCCCTTCCCTCCAGCTCGGAGCTCCTCCATCCTGCCCTCTCCCTGGGGAAGCTCAGCAGAGCGCCAAAGCAGGAACATGGTCTGAGGCTCCACAGGGCAGTCCTTTACTCTGATCCCCATGGGGACCAGACTGTCCCGTCCCTGCTGAGCAACACAGGGTCCTCCCTTGGACCTCACAGCATGTGTCGGGTTTCAATCTGCCACTGGCCAAAACCAGGCCTGCAACTGGTGTAGCTCCAAAGAGCCTGGAATGCGTTTCCCAGAGTCTAAGAGCTGGGTTTGATGGCTGTGGCGGAACATCTGGTCTGTGGCAGCCGCCTGGGGAATTCCAGTTCCCTGCTGCCAGCTGCACACTGTACTTCTGCTTTCCCCCCCAACAAAGGCGAGCAGTCAAAGCTGGCCAGGAGCCCAGGGCTAGCCCAAGATCAATTGCATGGCACAGTCCCTATGCCAGCCAATCTTCCGGTTCACACCAATTTCCTCTTCTCTCCCCTCCATCCTTCCCTTTTAGCACCATCGTGGCAGGGCTGGCACGCAGCCCACYAGCACAGAGGGACACCAGAGGTCAGCCAACAGAGCTTAGTGGCCAGCAGGGAGCCCTGGACCTCAGGACTGTGATCCCCACAGCAGTGGGGTGGCCAGGCAACACAGAGTCCCCCACACCAAAGAGAGCTTTTATTTCCAGACGGCCCATGCACAGTCAGAAGAGAAGTGAGAGCACAATGGGGGCAGAGCTGAGAGGGAATTTCCAGTCCTCCCYGCCAACCTGCAGTCTCCCAGGCACCCTGGGCTGAAGAGCAATCCTCCCACCACAGGGCAGCCCCCTCAAGCCAACCCTGGCCATGGTGGTCAGCACTGAGGAATAGGCAGCACCAAGGAGCAGGCAGCAGCTCCCACTCTGCAGAGCACAGCAGGCATGGGCTGAGCATCCTGTGCCCACCTCACACTGCACTGGAGGCCTTGGGTGGCCTCAGGCCGGAATCAGCTCTGAACTTAAGACTGGGCTCTGGCACCCCTGCTGCTTTGGTGGAGATTGATAGGGCCAAGGAATACAGGGTGAGAGCTGTGCCAGCCCTGGCAAAACACCCCACTTGCCAGACAGGCCAGCTTTGGGWTATCACCTGTGATGTAAGGAATAGAGAGATCCCTTCACAGGCAGAAGGGCAACACATGGCCTTAAAGCATTGCTCTAAGAAAAAAAGTGGGGCTGGGGCTGCCTTTTTACCAGTTGCACCAGGGACGTGAGTGTGCTGAGAAGCTCGGAGGCCAGTCCCAAAAAATGTCCTTTGTTGACTCCTCCCAAGTGCTGCTTGAAGATCAAGCCAGCATTCASGACTCCAGGCATCTTCAGTTGAAAGCAAATTTTGAGGGCAAAACAAGGCCAGCTCCTCTCCACTCTGCTGCCAGGATAGAGGCTGTGCCAAACAGGAGAGGCTTTTTCCCCAGGGAAGCCCCAGGTCATGCTACAGCAGGGARTTCCCCACTGGAAGGGGAGGCTAGTCACATTTGCCTCTGTACAGCCATGGGATGTCCCCTCACCGCCAGCACTCCCCGGGCAGGGGAGGGGGCTGCAAGCAGGGGCCATGCAGCCCCATGGGCARGGTCTGGTCACCCTCAGTGGACCATGAGGCAGAGACACAGCCAAGGGACCTGGACCAGGAGCAAGGCAACCAGCTGTAAGGATACCCCTCCCCTCATTAGGTTTTTGCTGACCCTAGCCTGGGTATGATTTGAGCAGAGATTCCCTGCTGGGTTTTGCATCAGACCCACAGTCCCTGTGGCAGCACCTCTGCTGAGGTGTCCTTTGCACACTTGCAGGGACAGCCCCTGTTTCTCCAAACCTGCTCTCAGGTACCACGTGCGGGAGGAGGCTGCAGGATCTGCCTTTTTCAGGTACAGCAGAGTTAAGACTGCTCAAGTAGGGGACTTTCCACAGCAATTTGGCTTSAACTTGTAACTGCTGGTGCTTTCTCTTTCCAGAGCCACGCTGGGCTCCCAGGGGAGAGAGCAATGCTCAGGGCTGTGTCCCACAGCAGACAGCCCTCCTGCCCCAGAAATCCCCCAGGCCCCAGTCACTACCCACACCACACCACACCACACTGTCATGTGGGGGCGAGTGGGGCAGTCACCCAGGGGAGGTGGAAACCCCCAAGAAGCCCTCTGCTACTGCCAGCACCTCACTCTTCCAGGTTTGGATGCCTTTGCAGCTCAACACAGCGGTGGAGCCACTCGGGGCTGGGCTGATACTGAGCTAGTTTGAGTATCCGTGCTGCAGAGGTAATGCGGGTGACCATCCCTCTGGGCAGAGCTCAGCCTGTCACCTTGCAGCTGGGATGTACCTGCTTTGAAGGATTGCTTTCCCCCTCCCCCTTCCTTCTCCACCCGGTGCAGCCCCCTCTGGGGCTTTCATTTCTGCATTCGTTCCCGCCTTTCCTCAYTACCAGCCCTCAACTTCCTGAAATGGCTGCAAGAACCATGAGCTACTTGGGGGAATCATAATAAGGCCAGTGGGCTGGGAGAAGCCCACCACGAGCACATGTGCACTGAAGTATTCTGTGCCACGGGCAGTGCTGCCAACCAGGAAYTGGGATTGTCCCCTGCTAACCCAGGAAACCTCCTACACCCAGGAGACCTGAGGGGCAGGCATCATGACAATCTCCACTTTTTTCCACCGAGGCTATGAGCACACCTCTCTCGATGCCACAGCAGCTGCGCAGCCCAGCCACTGTTGGCTGCTGTGTGCTGGCACACTGTGCCCAGCTAAGCCTAGAGCAAGAGCAGGACGATGGAGAGACAGCYACTCTCTGCCAGACACCGCTCCTCACGCAGCCACGGCCATGTGTCCTTGCCAGAACAAGCCCTCCACCCTGCCCCGCTCAGATCCTTGCCCATCCCAGCTTGTCTGCACATCTCTCTTGCCTGCTCCCTCCCTCTCCACGCTCTTGCTGGCAGTGCWCCTGGCTGCAGCCACGGGGGAGGGTGTCCAGCAGGAACTTTCAGAAAGGGCAGCGGGCAGTTTTAGAAAGGGCAAGGGATGAAGGAGCTGTGGGCAGGGGAAACACGGCGGGAGTACAGACTGCTGGGTAAATTCTCAGCTTTTCCACTTGCTCACGAGCTCCATCCTGGCATAAGGGGACTCARCACTGAATCACAAAGGTCCCATGGGCACAGGACATCCCTGGCACAAAGTGATCTATCCATCATCAGAGACATAACAACCRGAGAGCAGACAAGTTGGGGCTATCCCTGGAGATGCCCCTGAGACTGAACATGCCATGCCCAAGRTGGTCCTAGCTTAGGTACAGGAGAGCACCCATTTCCACAGTGCTGTCCATCTCCAACTTGAGTGACCTCAAGTATCCATCTGGAAAAGTTTCCACACGAGGACTGGAGGCAAGAAAACAGGGTAAGGGGTGACACCCAACTCTGRCACAGAAGCAGAACTGATGAAGTCCCACCAGTTCTCTGGCTATCCTTTTCCATTTCTCTAGAAAAGTGGCTGACCGTGCAGATCTGTCCGTCTGTAAAGCAAGACACCTTTTCCTCAAAGCAGCTTCTCCCTTCACTATCTCACCCCAGAAGCACTTAAATCAGGGGATCCAGCATTCAACTGAATTGGCTTTGACAAGTTTTTCTCCCTCTCTAGATAAGGTCCTTATCTGCAGCAGGAACAGCTCATTCCCAGCTCCTTGTTTTGGCTGAGTGGAGCAGTAGGAAATCATGCAAACAATTCACACAAGAAAAGCTTGTTCAGGGGAGGAAATGGCCCCAGCAGCAATAGAAAGCAGTGTGGGGGAGGAGGAAAACAGCAGGGAAATTCCACACTTACCCTGCTCTCCTGTTCTGGCCCTGTAACCTGCACTGCTAACCGCTTCCTCAGCCATGAGCATGAACCTCTGCCAGCAGGCTCAGCAAGCACAGCTTGATCCTGCCCTGCAGCCCTGAGCCAGCCCAGCCTGGCTCCCTTCCTTCCTCCCCACATACCAGTGTGATGCTGCCCCACTCCATAAAGCTGCTCCAGAGGCTCTCTGGCAGCTCCAAGGTGGATCCCAGCTGTCTTATCCCCATGTTCTGTGTTCCTGCCCTGGATCTCCTGTCCTGGAGGTTTCTTCTCCCCTTCCCTGCGAGGGGCACAGCTTGAATTTGAGTGGAAGGGGTGCTGGGATAGGACCGGAGAGAGACTTCTCATCCCCAGGCTGGAAGGATGCAAAGCCCTTTCAGGAACATTGGGTTCAGCATTCCTGATCTCCAGTCTGGGCAGCAGCTGCTTCCCAGCCTGCTGCTCCTGGGGCCAGAGTGAGGGATGGGAGCCAACAGGTGAGCAGAGGAGACAGTCTCACCGTTCCTGGGGTGCTGTGCAGAGGGTCTGGTCTGGGTGCTCGTGGATGTGTGGTGCTGGGGTGCTGGAGGCTGACTGTAGGAAGGCTGTGGGAGCCTCATTTTTTAGTGAGATGGGGATGAGAAGGTACCCTGGCCTCACACCCTCTAGACTCTGTACCCATACATTTGAGAATTTTGCTCCATTTCTGAGCAGATGGTGGGTCTGGGATTGCAGAAGTACTGAATATCAGATGCATGTGGGCTTTTCGCTACGAAACAAGAGGCCTGTCCTGTACTACCATCTTTTCCCAGATGGGCCATGCCAGAAAACAGGTCAGCCCACCCTAGCAGGGGCCAGTCACCATCAGAGAAGCATGTGAAAAATTTCAGTAAAAGCAGCAAACATCCCAAAAAGTTCACTGACTGTGGTAAATCCATTTCAAATAGAACAAACTCACACCTCATTCCTTAGGAGGCAAATACATTCTACAGTTTCTGTACACAAAGAGATATCTTGAGGTCAGAAGAACCTCTTACAAGAGCCTGTACAATACACCCT